AAAGAGGGGGAGTGGCGGCCTAGTGATTAGGGCGTAGAGCTTGGAATCCTGAGGTTCTTAGTTCGAGCCCACTGACTGCCACTCTGGGTATCTGATCAAGACCCTTAACCCCCCCTGCTCCCCGGGTGCCGCACGATGGCAGCCCACTGCTCCCCAAGGGAAGGGGTTAAATGCAGAGGGTAAATTTCTGCAATATGATATCAATAAAGTTCAATTATTATATACAAAAAGACAGAAAAATTCAAGGCATGTGTGATAGAAATATGAGATAATTATCAATTGTGTCTCTTACTTTACTGGCAAAACTTTCAAAGCATTTTATTAGAAATATGAGTTGTTGACAAACACAATCATCATTTTGATACATGAGTTTAAGACCTCTTAGTTCAGTACTTGTAAAAGGTACTACATCTTAAACATTGTTGTTCAAACCAGCATCTGAAAATGGGAGAATAACACCAGTGCAATACAACCAACATATGGTCATCGTTACTCTAACTGTCTTGAAGGGCAAAAAGAAAAACATTTAGAAGCCCATGCTAACTCTGGAGGAGCTGCAAAAAGCGGATACCCCAAATATCAAAACAAGAATCTCTGCAGAATTTAAAATTTTAGCTCTATAGTCTCGACCTTGTGTCTCCACCTGAAATATTTTGCAAATTCAATGGGTATAAATGTCCTTTTCTAGAAGAAACCTGTTTGAGGGCAAAGTCTTAAAAACCCAAACTTTGTTTTATACTTTACAATTGGATATAAATTATTGGATAAAATCCCACAAACGGCATTAAGGAGTTAGCTCCAACATGTAAAAAAAAACCCAAAATGTTCAACTACTTTTCCAAGATGCTTTAAACTTATGAATAAGATGCTTTTTTTTCAGCCACAGTAGTCGTGATGTGATCCCTGAGTTACTGTATATGGAGGAACAACATATTTCATAAAAAGGCAGAATGAGGAATTAAGTAATTAAATGTTAGAAAAAAATAAATACATTTTATTTAAAAAAATAATATTTTTCCGAAACGTTATAAGTAAATATAGATTGCAATTATTATTTGTTTTTTTGTATTTCTCAGGGGTTGCCAGTCTTTAGCATTGCTAATTTTGGGGTTGCAGGCAGAAATATTTGGGCGTAGAGGTATTAGTATGGTGGCTGATGAGGTTATGAATGTATACTTTTCTTCTAAAGTAAAGCAATCAGAATCAGGGTGGATAGTAAAATGAAACACAGCCTGAAACTTTCAGTCATCAGTCCAAACCCTCATGTTTTTCACAAAGTAAAACTGTAAGCAAATATTTGGAGGAGGTCAAGTGGAGAGAAAGAGATAATTATAGAGTAAGATGAAGGAAAAAAAGGGCGAGCTAGAGAATCAGAAAAGGTCTTGAACCTCAAGTTCTGCCTTTGCTGGCATCTTCTCAAAGGCTTACTGTAACGCATGGGGCCCAGGCAAACAGGGCCACAGTCCCTTTAACCTCCACGTCCAGCTCAGCTAAAGGCTGCTACCCAGTGCAATAATATCCATGCTTCCCGAAAGCTCTTTCATCCAAAACATTTCATTTCACGCTGCAGAACTCATATCCTCTTAGCTTCGCTCCTATCCTTAAGCTCCTGAATGAAGCTCTTTTACTGTTCATCCAGAGGAAAAACCTTCATAAAAACCATGTTTGTAGTCTGATTTATCCTGTACTTTAGAGAGTTCTAATTAGTGCAGGATTAGGAAAATCACACCTTTAATTTCAATGTTCAGATGAGACATGCAAGAGACCTCACAGGAAGGCAGGAGACAGAGAGAGGAGGATGAGGGGGTGGGATGGCATGCAGGAAACAGTGGTTCTCATACTGACCACAAAGCAGAGCCACAAGGTAGCTGTACCAGTCCTGCACTGCAAAAAATTGAAAGCTAAATAAGTCATTTTTTTCTTAAAATAAGCGCACTGGTTCTTAAATTGAGGAGGTAAGGGAGACAATGTGCCAATGGAACAAGAGAATTTACCTTTAAATAATAAAAATAAATTAGCATTGTCTTATTTCAAGTGCATATTATCTATTTTATTTCAAGAGTAAAAATACTCATTCCATTGGCAGACCATCTTATTTAGCTTCTTAAATGAGAGGTAAATACACTTAATTTAAGACTTTTTGCTTGTTTTTAGATTGTTTTTGCTTTATCAACAGTTTATTATAACAGCATGACTCTTTTGTAAAGTTTCCTCCTCCCTGATTTTTGTTTTTGAGGGTAGAAGGAGGGGGATTTGGTGAATGTTTTAAAATAGTTTTGATTTTCCCCGCAAACTTTTTATCAGAGCAATGTGGAAGGAGACGTGTTACATGGTGTGGTAACTGAGCAGGATAATCAGGTTACTTTTCAAAAATTGCTTGCAGGTGTTTTATTTTATGACTGCTTAACGTTTTCTTTTTCTCTAATTTACAAATGAATCTGTACTTTCAGTTTGCAGAAGAATAATAAAAAAAGAGAAGCTTTTATTTGCCCTTTCTGAACAGCTCAATAAAAATATGTCTTATGTCGGCCATGGTGGTTTTAGGCTAGGTTTTTATTTACCTTGGAAGTTACAGCTATGATCTGTAACTTAGATGGTGATAGCGAATCAACTATTGGCAACAAGTTTTTTACTCTGACATAATTATATTAATATTTTTTGATGTCTCATTGATGTCTACTTCCAACTTTCTGTTAAAGTACAATTCAGTTTATTTCTATAGCGTGAATTCACAACACATGTCATCTCAAGGCACTTTACAGTTCACCAGATCATCCAGTCAAACTGATTCAAAGTTTTCTATCTAAGAAAAAGCAGTTGATTGCATTGACTCATTAACTCGAAGGCAAACCCTCATACTTGTAGTGACAGTAGAGAGGAAAAACTGTCTTTTAACAGAAAGAAACCTCCAGCAGCTCAGTGTGAGCGGCCATCTGCAGAGGCTGACTCGGGTTCAAGGAGACAGAAGCAGAGATACAGACAGATAACATAACAGGGAACTGAACATTTGTTTTAAAACAAACTATAAGGGTTAAAGTTAAAACTTTCTCTCCAGCAACATTATTGCAGCACATCTGTGTCAAGCCATTTTCCAGTACATTTCAGGGTGCAAAATAGGAAACGCATGGAAATCCTCTCCCAGATGAAGCCTTTTAAACGATCCTCAGCAGTCCCATAGAAAGTAGTGTTGCACGGATACCAATATCGGGCGGGGACCCGATCCAGCACTAAAATGGTGGTATCGTTATTGGTGAGTACCAACAAATAGGGCACCGATACCATTTAGAGAGCCAAAAGTTTATTCAACTATTGTCACCCATTCCAGGTAGGCAATAAAAAGTTCTACTGGATTCACTTTGTATTAGTCTTTTTCCTGCTTCACTGACAAAGCCATGATGGTCATTATTTTACATCCAAGTAGTATGCAGTTCTTCATTTATACACACAATCCTCAATTTAAAACAGATCGTATCAGTTTGGTATCGATACAGCACAGCCAGGTATTGGGTATCGGTATCTGGGCCAAAAAATGGCATCGGAGCAACACTAATAGAAAGTACCCCTGGATCAGTGCTTCTGTGCTTATTGTATGTCTGCTCTGTTTTGTCACTGATCTTAGTGCTGCAAGAGGTTTATTCCTGTTAAGGGGGCATTTTCCTTCCCATTGTTTCACTGTATGCATGCAGGTAAAAGCGATTTCTGCAAAATCAGCAACAAAAGGCAAACAGCAGTCCGCTGTTGCTACTTGCCAACCTAGAACAACCAGAACTTGATGCAACTCTGCTGTGCTACCATCTACAAACTATATTGTTTTAAACTAAGGATTAAATGCATGTGCTTCTACGATTTAATTTGTGAAATTACTTGAAATAGGTATAAATATTTTTATATAAGAAAATTGAATTTGATTGAAATACTGTTTCTCAGAGTATGATAACCAGATTGACTGATACTTTCTTGCACCTTTAGCCTAATTGTTAAATTTTCCTCTATTTAAGTTAGAATATATTGACTAATTTTGACCTTGTGTGTCTATTGTCAAATAACCTATGAGGTAAACTGTACCACACACAGCTTAGACATGTGATGATAAAAAAGGCAGTTCAAACGGAGAACTGGGTGGATTACAGATGGTCTTAAACACTCATCCTCATAACTGTTTCTATTAGCAGTTTGCCTCATTTTTCACTTTTGTGTGTTTTGATGTTTTAGAATTGTGTCGCTATGCCCTGGGGATGTCCAGTGGGCAGATACTGGATGAGTACATCTCTGCCTCCAGTCAGTGGTCTGACTCTACAGCGGCCAGATACGGCAGGTACAGCTGACACTAACACAAACTCCTGCATGTGTTTTATAGCATGGTTCCCCTGATCATGAGTGTGGGTGGTTGGTCCTGCAAGGTGCTGCGCCTGTTAATGAGAAGTCAACCACAAACTGGGGTACCAGTTACCTGCATTACTTGGGTGGCCTTCGCTAAGTATTGGGATCTAATTATCTGGGTCTATTTTCTGTGTGGCTCCCCTTCAGCCCCTTCCCCTAAATTAATGATTAACGATTCCTTTCACCAGGACCTTTTTCACAACAGAATTTGTGGTCTCAAATCATCCACTGCTCCCACTTTTCCTCTACATCCTGTCCTGCTTTTTTTCCCTCTACTCTGTCTTTTAGCTCTCTCCTCCTCCCCGTTTTCAGATGGTCTTTTTTTTACCTCTAAGGTTGGACTGCGAGGAGGGAGATGGTGCCTGGTGTCCGGAGATAACACCAGACCACCTGCAGGAGTTCCTTCAAATTGACCTTGGGTCGCTCCATTTCATCACCCTTGTGGGCACCCAAGGCCGTCACGCCGGAGGAATGGGCAATGAGTTTACCCAGATGTACGAGATTAGGTACAGCCGTGATGGCAGTCGCTGGATCTCATGGAGGAACAGGTTGGGGAGACAGGTAACTCCACCTGCTGAGAGTAACTACAGCTATAAGGATCCGAATTTAACTCTAAGTTTGAACTTTGACCTGGAAATGTTCACATATTTAGGTTTTGATCTGACTATGGCTATTTGTTTAGCCTTAGTCCTGCTAGTTTTGTCTATTGCAGCTTCTTGGAGGTTTTCTCATGGATTGCCCATTAATCTTCTTATAACATCTGGCAGTTTCCTTTTCCCTGCTGAAGCAACACAGTGACTATCAGATATCATCCGTTCATTTGCTCATGACATTAAGAAATGTTTGCTTCGCTTGCAGGTGATTGAAGGCAACAGGAATAGCTACGATATCGCACTCAGGGATCTGGAGCCGCCCATCATTGCCCGTTTAGTCCGCTTCATGCCCGTCATAGACCACTCCATGAACGTCTGCATGAGAGTGGAGCTTTACGGCTGCGAGTGGCTGGGTAAGTTTAGGGCCATTTATATGGGATGAAAATATAGAGAGGAAATTATATAAATAAAGAAACGCCCCCTGGCAAGGATGATCATAAAATACCTAAAGAAGCAGCAGTAACCTTTGAGTCTATAAAGAGAGGGAGGAACAGCTGATTTCCAGTTATCATCACATAACAATGAACTGCTTGAACTCTGGTACAGGAGACATGATAAGGATATTATGATAAAATATCTTATTCATACTTGTGATTATTCATTGACCCGGGACTGGGCTGCGGGGCAAGTTTCAACAGGGACATCCAGAGTTCCTTCTCCCCATTGCTCCTCTAGGGGGAGCTGTAGGAAGTGTGGAGTTAGGAAGCTGAGACAGAGGCATTTTTTGCAAGAAATAAGGTTCAAATTTATTAAACGTCTTCAGACGGAGAGATAGGGCTATGACTGGGCAAAGCTCAGTACATACTTTTATACAGCAATTCCAAATACACACACACTCCCTTGGAACTATCCCACCCCTACATAAAGAACTTTCTCACACATGAAGATTTGGTTAAATTTGGTTATTCCCTACATCAATTTTAGCCAGATAAAAACTCAGGACAGAACTCCAGTTCACGGCATGAAGGAGGCTGTCTGAACTCATTTTTATCTCTTAGGACCTTCCCTTCACCCTTGTCTAGAGTAGGGAGTATGCTTCCACAGAGGTCTAAGGCCAGCTGAGAGACATTGTGAATGTAATATTTGATTTTAGAGGCTGCATCCTGCAAGGACCCGGTCTATCTGGACTGGATCCTTTAAGGTCTGTGTAAATAATGAGACCTGAAGAGTTTTGGCTGTGAATTCAAACAGGTCCAGCCTTCCGCGGCTTTCACCGTGCCATTGCTCAGTCGCCTAGCAACATTGAGAGTTGACAGACAAAGAAGTAAAAGAATGAAACTTGTCACTGCTGTTTATTTTTATTTATTTGACATTTTCGAGGAGCTTCAACAGCAGTACCGTATCAGATGTATAGTCCCAAACACTGCAAATATGTTAGAATCTGTCCTTAAATGGCAGCCAAACCCATTTATACAGGAACAGATAACAACCTTTTGATAAAGCAAACATCCTCCACCACATATCTGACTCAATAACCATCCAAAAAACTTTTCTTATTACTTTCAGATGGAACTATTCATATACTTGTATTATATTAAACTGCACTTCCAATATTCAACACTTTTGGGCACAAAGTACCTTTTTCCTCTGATCACGGAGCAGCCAGCTTGCTTTGACTCCCAATGAGGGAGGAGGATACAGTGGACCCGTCCCTCAAAACTGCCAAAAAGAAGGACCCATTTGTCGGCCGCATAACGAGGAGTCTTGCAATCCGAACAGGCCTCGGCGCTGCGCCATGACGTTATCGGCTTACGAATCTGGCCTTTGGAGGACGCAGGCCTTGAATTCGAACCCACACCACGTCCCTGGAGATGCCTGAGCAATCTCAGCCGACTCCTCCTGATGAGGAGGAGCAGCAGCTTTACTCTGAGTCTTTTCCGGAAGCTAGAGCTCCTCATCCTATCTCTAAAGAGTAACCGGTGGCCTGGTGGAGGAAGCTCATTTCAGCCTCATGTATCCGGGATACATGCAGCTGGACGACCTTAATGTACCAGCATAACGTCCACATGGGTTCACAGATCAACCTGTTGCTCTCTTGCTTATATAATCTGTCCCCTTACTCATAGGATACCTAAACTCCTCCGATTCAGACTTATTATCTTTTTTTTATCTCAGCTTCATGTCTACATAGTAGTGTTGTTGTTTGCATAAACTAAAGGTCAAAATAAGACAACATATAGAGTAATCATTGATTAAAGCCGGTAGTTTATATTTGAAGTACCGGTACCAATGAAGGACAAAATCACAGATTTATTTTCTCTTTATATCTGAAAAAGTTCCTTCATTCTTGTTTGCCCCAGTCCCCAAACTAAAGATTCATGCTTACTGCTATGCTGATGACCCTTAATGTCCAGTTTCTTATAAAAGGGAAAGAAAATAAGTAATAAAAAGGTTCCAGACAACTGCCTCGGCTGATTGGCTAAAGCTCATTGGATAATGTGAGATTTTTTACACTCTTTTGGTTCATTTTCATCATTTTTTTTAACTCTTTCCATGAACTGGGGTTGTATTCTTCAATAACATTGTTGGTTTGACAGTTTGTGGAAAAGATTTAGTTTGAGCCTTTTCTCCATTCCTCATCACCACATTACATAATCATGTCTTTCTTCTTGTTCCGTCGCTTTGGTGAGTTACTTTCCAGATTCTCAAAATGTCCCTTTTTTTCCTCACACATCCTACTTGCATTTTGTGCCATTTGTTTCTATGGTGAATCTTAACTGTACAGTTAAAAAAAATAAAGTGTGATTTTTCTCATCAACAGGTACAAAATCCCCACAACTACAGAACAATTCCAATAAAATTATGCAAATGAAATGTCTTCACAGATGGTCTGGTGTCGTACAATGCTCCAGTGGGGCAACAGATGAACCATCTGGCTTATCCTGTTTACCTGAACGACTCAGTCTATGATGGAGCCATCATCCACAGGTGAGGAGGGACCATTTTCTGATTTGCTTCCTCATCCTTAGTCTTTCTCCCTGCACTAGTTTGAGGTTTCCCCCATCTCTCACCGTTGCTTTTCCTTCTCATGTTGGTGCCCGTTACCATGGCAAACACAAAGACAGAGTGGGAGGAGAGTGGGTCTGGGTGTTTTACTGTTAGGCATGACCTCAGGGAATAACTGAGTCAACTATACTTAGTTAGTTTCAGATCCTGAATGGACCAATCAGGGCCTTTATTGTGAGTGAATAATGTCCTCCATGACTCTGAAACGCTCATTTAATCTGTTCAGGAAACAAAGTGGTGAGAAAACGGCCGTAATTAAAATAAAAGGTTTGCTTGATAATGCTGTCACCTAGTGGTAGAACGATGCTTTATTTATAAGCAGATCTGTGGAAACATTTACATTTAAGCAGATTGAGTCAAAAAAAAAAAATCTGTGATACAGAATCATTTATTTACGGAGTGGATTTTAAATTGCTTTTAAAAGTGTCCATAAAGAAAACAAAACAGTTTCAGACACAAACCTGCATACAAATAAAAATTACCTTTATTTTTCAACCTTATATGATTTACAACCAAGAGACTTTTCGGCTGTTTGGACAAAATCTGACGTTTTATGAAAGGAGTCTGGTCTCAAGCTACTGAAAAGGTGTTTCTGAAAACTACTGGGATACATGATAAGAATCGGTTTTGTTGTTTGTTGAATGCTTTTTCTGCTTTCACAGAATCTTTATAGGTATGAGAGTCACAGTTTCCTCTGACTGATAAACAGAATATTACAGTAAGCTATATTCGCGCAATACATGGACGTCTTCTCTGAATGTCCAGAGAGACAATAAAATGCAATGAAATTCATCCCCTTTCAAAATGTCTTTTTGTGGTTGTTGGTGCAATTTTGCCACAAACATGTACAGATCATCCAAAGATGGCGTCATATTTCAGATTTGTTACTTTACTTATGTAGAAATTTTGTCTTTCTTGACTTTACTGGAGTAATTATTTTTTCAAAACATTTTACTTCTACTATTTACATTTAAAAATAAAATAAAAAATAAACTTTCTATTTTTCTTTCATTTAAACTCATTTTCTTTATGGCCTGTTGGTATTAAAATAACAAAAAAACATCAAAATTATTAGTTTCATTCAGACAATTCATTTCTTTGTTGTTGGACTTGATGCTGCCCCAACTTGTTGTTCACTACACCCCAAAATAAATCGCCTTTCAAGGTGATGTAAAGTTAAATTTGACACTGTTACTATTAGTTATAAAACTGAGCAAATTAAGTCCAAGGAAGTAATCGTCCAGAATAGTAAAAAAATATTCCTTTAATAGGGTAGTGTGGTAAAACATTTTTCTTGCATTACTTTTAGTTTTATACTTTAAGTAGTTTTAAAACTGGTACTTTTACACTTTTACTTGAGTAAAAAGCTTAACTTGATACTTTACCTTCCACAAAATTATTTCTAAACAGTAGGATTTATACTGGAGTAATAAACATTAATACTTTTGACACCTCTGGTCAAATCTATCCAAATTAAACCCAACCTCATGCGAAGAAGTAACAACCTTTGTAACAACCTCTTAATCAACTGTTATTGAAATGGGTTGAATTTCACTCTTTAAACTCAAATCTGAAACTGCCAGACAAATGGCTTGATTAGAAACTGTCCGACAGCATGAGGAAGGCAAAAAAAGTGAAGAGCAACCCATCGTGTCTTAATCACAGGTATAAGTGTTTCCCATTTCCATCTTTGACTTCATGGTGGTAGAAAAAACCCTGCGTTTTCCACCAACACTCTGCTTTTTAATGCTCTACTGGTTTGATTGTTTAACGGACATTACTAGAAGCATGTCGGGGTTAGTGCTGGGTATTTTTGCCAAAGTCATGAATCGATTCGATTTTGACTCATACAGTTCTAAATCGATTAATTTCGATTCAATCTCTTTTTACAATAATGAAAGTTTTTCAACTGTGTTTCAAAAGACTTATGTATTTTGTTTTTTCCTGTCACATTAAACACAAAGCGCAAACTTGTTAACCCTATAATGCCAAATCTATCATATTTGATACATACGGTTTCTGAAATGTTTTGCGTCTGACACCTTTTGCATAATTTAATGATAAAAACTTTGCTCAAAATCCTATTGTACACAATCAGATATACCTGATAACAGAGGGCAGAAGACTACACAAAAAATAATCTTGACTTATTGCATAGTAACAAATTATTAATATCAAAAATGTATTTCAGTTTTTTCTTTTTACATATTTTGTTAAAAGGCCAAATAAGGACTTCAAACCAAAAAAAAAGGTATTTTCTGTTTTGTTTTATTCTTGGATCGGGCTTTAAAGGGTTAATCAGACAGCTTAAACATGAGATGTGAACAAAACTGCCTCATAAGTGCAAACTTGTTTGTGAAAAGTGAAAAAGCCTCACTCGTGACACAGAAGGGACACAGCAGACATTCATGAGCTGCATTTTCTTCAATGCACAAACCATATTTGCAGCGTTGTCTGTAACTACAGGGTGTTTGCTTATCAGCCCCCATTTGTTAATGTCTTTAGCCAACCTATTGGCTTTATTTGCAGCTGTCTGGCTTGAAGTAATCTTGAGTTCATATTTCCTGCTCATTTGAATGTGAACGTCACGCTGGTCACGATAAAATGAATCGATCTCATTCCCTAAACATCGATTTTGCAAAAATGTAAAGGAATCGATTCGAAATCGATTAAATCGATTTTTTTACCCAGCCCTAGTCGTGGTCTTTGATTAGTAACACCCTCCATGATAAGCAGGGAGTTTTCATTCAACTGAGGAGCAGCTGATTGGCTGGGAACTTTGACTCCTCCATAGATTTAATCAGACTTTTGCTTTTGTGTTTCTCAGTATGACGGAGGGATTAGGCCAGCTGACCGATGGAGATTGTGGAGAAGATGATTTCACTCTGAGCCATGTCCATAACGGGTGGCCCGGGTACGACTATGTGGGCTGGAACAATGCCAGCTTCCCTGATGGATTTGTTGAAATCATGTTTGAGTTTGATCGTATAAGAAACTTCACCTCCATGAAGGTGAGAATCCAGATTTATTTTATCTGCAAGCCCCCAGCATTGATCTCTTAATTATTCCTGAGCATATCCTCATTCTCGCAGGTCCACTGTAACAACATGTTCTCCAGGCACGTCAAGGCCTTCCGGGAAGTGGTTTGCCACTTCCGCTCTGATTCCGACTGGGAGGCCACACCGCTCACTTTCAGCCCAGTGGAGGATGAGAAGAATCCCAGTGCACGCTTCATCACCGTCCAACTGGCCAATCACATGGCCAGCGCCATCAAGTGCCAGTTCCACTTCGCTGACACCTGGATGCTGTTCAGCGAAATCACTTTCCAGTCAGGTACACAATGAGAAGAGCTGAGCACATGATGGGTAACTGGAGGAAAATGTTTTTACCGTAACTAACAACTGATAAAACTCTTCCAGACACAGCAATGTACAACACAACACTGCCCAACCCCAGTACGGTACTCCCAACAAAAACAACGCCAGGTGAGCAACTGAATGAAATACATAAAACTTTAAAATGCTCTTTGAGTAGCATCCTGTTATGTTCATCCTTTGATGATAAAATAATTTATCAATTTTAAGCAGCAAATGAGCATAAAGCAGCCATGGCTGCAAAAAATTGAAATCTAAATGTCTTTTTTTCCCCCTTAAAATAAAGTTGTTTTTTTTCCTTGAGTTAGGGCTGTAAGTTGGACACTTTGACAATGGAAAAAGACAATTTACATTCAAAATAAAAAAAAATTACATTGTCTTATTTCAAGTGCATATTATCTAATTATCGTATTTTAAGAGTACAAATACTAATTCCATGGCAAATCATCCTATTTACCTGCTCAATTTAAGGGAAAATACACTTATTTTAACACATTTTTGCTTATATCTTAAATCGTTATAGATCTATAGAACAGTTTTATCATTTTTGTAGGATTAAGGAGTGAAAAACAAAAACACAACAAACCTCTCAGTTTTTGTCCCACTTGACTTATACATTAATATAAATCCCATTACTAAAAATAAAAAAACAACATAAGTATTAAGTTTATTTATTGTTAATTTTCAAATGTCTTTACAAAAGCGTTTTTTTTACAAAAGCGTGTAATTAACGTTTGTTAATTACAAAGATCAGCAGTAATCAATTACACATCTCCATCAGTCAGTAGTGCCACGTTTTACCATGAAGTTGCTCATTTATAAAGTTGGTGGCATATTTAGAAGTTATGTTCTCCATCTCAGTTACCTGATGGGAAGCAGAGAAACATCTGCAACATAGAGAACAAGACAACAGCGCTAAACTTGCTCTGGCAGCCATTAATCGGTTCTTTGATCCTTATTATTGCTTAAGACACAGAAAATAAAAGTATAGTATAAGTATAGTATACTTATACTATAGTATTAGTATAAGAAAACCCATTTATATTTCATAAAGATAGAACTATTGTAATTTTCAGAGTTAGCATGTTTCCCTGTACTCCTCAGTTAAACAGTTTAAATATGTTCTACAAAAAAGACAAGAAATGAGATGATCAGCCTCATAAAAGTCCTATAGAAGGATCAGCAGATGCTGAGGATTAACATTGTGAATGTGGCCTTCAGATTATCTCAAGAAAATGCAGCAAAAAGCTTCAGTGAATTTACAGCTCAAACCACCATCCTATCGCTAAAATGCTCCCGGAAACCAATGGAAATCCTTCCCACAGGAAGCAAAGGTGTTTTAACCCAAAAAAGTGACATGTCTTAAACCCCATTGTTTAACAATGGAATGTCACCATGTGTATTTAGTGATATAATGTTGAGCTATGTCAGTGGAAACTAGTGTTGCACTAAAATGGTTAGTATATTGGTATCGGCGAGTACCAACAAATAGGGCACCGATACCATTTTGAGAGCAGAAAGTTTATTCAACTATTGTCAAATTCTACTGGATTCACTTTGTTTTAGTCTTTTTCCTGCTTCACTAAGGTAGGCAGCAGCTTGAAAAAGCCATGATGGCAATTATTTTACATCCAAGTAGTATGCAGTTCTTCATATATACACACACATCAATTTCAAACAGATGGGATCGGCCGATACTGCACAGCCAGGTATCAGGGCCAAAAAAAGGCATCGGTGAAACACTAGTGGAAACCCAAACTTGTGCTATTAAAGCTTCAGCTCCATCCCTGGTTAAGAACTGCAGCCTTTTGATGAAAAAAAAAAAACACATGTAAAAACTCTAAATGCTCACCACAAGGACAGATAAATGAGTACACTTATAAGGAAATACACATCATAGGGTCTGGGGACCTTTTCACAAGAAATAGGAAGTTTTTCATTTAGAGGTTTTTCCTCTATCGCCACTGAATAATGCAGTTATGGTTGAACACAGCAACGACAAACCCCGCGGTTTGGAGTTTTATGTTTTTATAATGTTTATTTAATTTGGAAACACACTGCTCAACAAGAAAGTAAAGTCTCTTTAAAATCTTTAAAAGGTGTCTCTCATCGTCCCTCACCAGAAGATGACCCCACCCATAAAGTAGATGACAGCAACACTCGCATTCTGATTGGCTGTTTGGTGGCCATCATCTTCATCCTTGTAGCCATCATTGTCATCATCCTGTGGAGGCAGGTGTGGCAGAAGATGCTGGAGAAGGTGAGCTCATGCCTTTATGTTTCAGCACAACCTTTCCAGACGACGGACAAGGATTCCGTCATTTTGGGCGTTTTTTCAAGCATGTTTTGCAGCTGGTGGTCAGATGTGTTCCTTGACCCATAAACATGCTTTATTCTAGGCTTCTCGTCGGATCCTGGATGATGAACTAACTGCTAGTTTGTCAATACAGAGTGAGACATTCAGCTACAATCACACCAACAACCGGCCAGGCCCAACCGGTGAACAGGAGTCTAACTCTACCTACGAACGGATCTTCCCTCTGGGTCCAGACTACCAGGAGCCGACCAGCCTCATATGTAAGCTGCCGGAGTTCGCACAGAGCTCAGAGGAGCCGGGTAAGGCAACAAGTTTGCTGGCTCACAATATTGATTCACATTTTCACTTTGCTTTACTTGATTTTTACTGCAAGTAAAAATCCAACGCTGTTAGGAGTGCTTTGGTCTCTATCAGCTTTGCAAAACTAGTTTCCATTATAGCTCTGGTTTCATCTATAGCAGGAGTCGGCAACCCATGGCTCCAGAGTTGAATGCCACTCTTTAATGCCCTCCTTGCCTCCTTATTTGTTTGTTTTATTATCCTGTGCAGGAGGTTAAAGAAACAGTCATTATGCTTCCAACGCAGTAAAGATTGAATAAAGAATAAATGTAAACATTTCATCAGAGCCTGCAACACACGATTCAGCGCGGCGCAGTGCCAGGCAAGTGGCTGTTGTAGATAAAGGATCCCAAAGGGAAAAAGGGAAGATGTGAGCAAAGGATTCAAAGAAGAATGGAGCGAATCATTTGCTTTCATTACCAATGCGGAAGGGTTGCCTACATGTTTACTGTGTAATGAGAAGTTATCAATTAAGAAAAATAGTCCTTTGGAAAAGCATGTCCAGGGCAGGCATGCTAAACAGGCAGCCAACCACCAAGTTGGGAGTGAGAGAAAAATAGCGATTGCAGAACTTCTGGATACAAAGATAGATTTAAGAAGTAGATTGCATCTCCAGACTCTACTACTCTTGCTAATTTGGTTGCAAGCATGGAAAACCGTCCACAGATCAAACAGGTAGCGCTCGGATGCAGGGATAGGAATTTTCTTCCAGTTTTTCCCCCCAAATCTTCAACATAAGAAAAACACCAACAATCTGATTTATTTATTGTGTTTTTATGATTTCATCAATGCATCAAAACCTAATACATTAATATTGTAATGGAATTTAAACTTAAAGCACCAAATATTGTACAGCAGAGTAGTCACATGATGTGACATTGGCTCCAGGATAAATATTTAATCATGAATGCTTATTATATATTTAAGCGCACATAGTCCTTTCATTATAGTGGGCTAATACACTTAGAGCCCGTGTTGCCATACGAGGTTTATAGAAGACTTTTACTTGTTTTGCAGACAAATTCTTTTTTGGGTCCAATATGGTGCTTTGAAGAGTTTGGGTTGCCGACCCCTGGTCTAGTAGACCCCTTATCTCCAGAAAACATCTTCTGTATTCTCACAGGGTTTCCTCCAGTCTTGTATTTGGCTCCATTTAAATTATGTGAGAACTTTTCCTGTCGCTGGAAAACACACACACACAAAAAAACATTGTTTAGCACGATGCTGCCATCACTCAAGGAGATTCATGCAGTTAATCTTCTCCTACATTCATTGTTCTCCATGCATCCAGAAAGTCTTATTTTCTTTAACAGGTTTGTCATCGACAGATGATGTGTGGCAAAATTCAAACAGGATTCTGAGAATTTTGCTAATGCTTTCTAACAAAGCGTTTGAGCTCAAACGGAATAAAAGTCACATTTGCTCCTTGTCCATTCTGTCATTTTTTTCTGTTAAGTTTTTTCATGTTGTGTTGCAGCTTCGACCAGCACAGCAGCTTCCAAATCCACCACTCAAACTGTGGTCCAAGATGGCGTCCCACATTACGCAGAGGCAGACATAGTTAACTTGCAAGGCGTAACCGGAAGCAACACATACGCCATCCCTGCAGTCACTATGGATCTGTTGTCTGGGAAGGATGTTGTTGTGGAGGAGTTCCCCCGAAAATTGCTCACATTCAAGGAGAAGCTGGGAGAGGGCCAGTTTGGAGAGGTGAAAGTTCTCTTCTTTTCTGCTTTGACTTCAGATCAAACTAAAGCGAGTTCAAACCTCCTCACTAGTCTTTGTTCTTTGTTGGTTTAGGTACATCTCTGTGAAGCAGAGGGAATGCAGGAGTTCATAAATGAAGAGTATTTGTTTGACGTCCCAGAGGGCCAGCCGGTGTTGGTGGCGGTGAAGATGCTCCGCTCAGATGCCGACAAGAATGCAAGGTGCACAGCTGGAAATTTATAAACAAAAAACAAATCTAAGGTTATTATTCATCTGACTTATTGGAACATAAACTTAATCAACTTGTGCAAACTGTTACACATCAACAGGAATGATTTTCTGAAAGAGATAAAGATAATGTCACGTCTGAAGGACCCCAACATCATTCGTCTGCTGGCTGTGTGCATCTACAGCGACCCTCTCTGTATGATCACAGAGTACATGGAAAACGGAGATCTCAACCAGTTTCTGTCCCGCCATGAACCCGAGGGGCAACTTGCTCTCCTCAGCAATGCACCAACTGTTAGGTAAGCTAGTGTCCTTTGCATCTCTTTCGTAGCGTTGCCTTCCCACCAAAAGTTAATGTCTTTCGTTGCCCTCCAGCTTTAGTGATCTGTGCCACATGGCCACCCAGATAGCCTCGGGGATGAAATACCTTTCCTCCCTGAACTTTGTTCACCGAGATCTGGCTACAAGAAACTGTTTGGTGGGAAAAAACTACACGATAAAGATAGCTGACTTTGGCATGAGCAGAAACTTGTACAGCGGCGATTACTACCGGATCCAGGGCAGAGCAGTGCTGCCCATACGCTGGATGTCATGGGAGAGCATTCTGCTGGTGAACCATCACTTTTTACTTGTCACATATACAAACCTGCATTGTATTTATTCACTTTTTATTTAAATAACAAAACAAAAAACTCAAAAAAGTTGGATATCCAGCTAGCTACAATGCAGTACCTGTGTTTGTGCAGGGTAAGTTCACCACAGCAAGTGACGTGTGGGCCTACGCCGTGACTCTGTGGGAGATCCTGAACTTCTGCAAGGAGCAGCCGTACTCCCAGCTCACTGATGAGCAGGTGATAGAAAACACAGGGGAGTTTTTCAGGGACCAGAAACGGCAGGTGAGAAATGAACAAATGGATTCGATTTTACTAATAAAAACAGTTCAGTTATAGATTTCATTGCTTGCTCTTGATCTCCCAGATCTACTTGCCTCAACCTGTACTGTGTCCGGACTCACTCTACAAGATCATGCTGAACTGCTGGAGGAGGAACGCTAAGGAGCGGCCCTCTTTCCAGGAATTACACGGAGCCCTGTTGGATCTACAGCCTTCAGCCTGAGCGGTGTTTGAGACCCTCCTTCAGAGTCTTCACATGTGATGGTGCAGACACAGTCCAGGTTTAAGCTAGTTCATATTCAACAGAAAAACATGATGGGAGGCCTCCTGCTGGTTCTAAGCTACATTTTGGGAACTAAATGCACTCTAAAGATTGATCTGTATTCCAGTTTACGTAAAGGTTCTGTATTGAGCATAACTTTGGACAAAGTACTTTATCGTCATTTAAAAAGAGGCCTGAACTGTGGTGCATGTGTGGAGAAAGCCAATATTAAAATGTAGCAGGAGACATTTGGCACTTTTGAAACTAAACTTACTAAAGTAAGAACGTTTGTGTTTGGTCTTTGTTTTCTTTTATTGAAGCAATGTTCTCGGCAGTAAATCTCATACTGTCAGGAAGTTTGTTTGTTTTTTCTCCTACAGTGGTGCCACATCTGTAAGAAAACATGTTTTTTTTTTCTTTTTTTTCCATAGATATGTTTATTATTTTTTGTTAAATAACAACAAAATAACATAGAAAACAAGCTCAGCAGTGCAGTGCAGAAAGGATAAGATAGGGGGCATACATATTTCCATCATTATAGAGTCCAAATCTAAGCATTAATAAACACTCTAGACAGGATAGTAGACATGTGATCCTTCGGAATAGTCCAGGAAGGGCTTCCATATCTGCCAAAAGTGTCAGTCTTAGAGTGGACGAGAGATGTTAGAAAGTCAAGAAGGATATATTCCAAAATAAGCTTCTTCCACCTAAAAATAGTAGGAGAATTTATTAGAAATCCATCGTAAAAAAATAAAAAAATGTGGACATTGTACAATTTGCTCTTATTTTGATTTTGGATATGTTTGTTTGGTAGAACAAGGAGAAGAGATACTGGATCGAGATCAATATAGGTTTTAATAATTTTCCTAGCGTCCACCAGAATAGATTCCCAGTATAATTGGATGTTAGGGCGTTATCCAGTAGGTGACATCAAAGCTGTTTAGAGAGGTTTTCATAGTCCAAACCATAAGTGTTTTTAGCCTATTTTTGGGGGTGCTGATGCAACCCTAATTTGAATCAAAGCACTCCTAAAATATTTTAGTTTTTAGTTTTGTTTTTTTTAAAATAATGTATGCTCTATTTACAAAAAAAACCAAAACAAAGAATGGCAATGTAAAAACTAGTATTTGGTTATTTAACCCCTTCAATTATGTTCTGGTTCATCAGAAATGAAAAACAAAAAACAAGTAAACAAGCCTGATGGAGCTCCTTAACTAAAAAGTTGAGCAACGCTTTGAGGAAAACGCTGCATTCAGGTGTTTATGAAATGCTTAGTCAGATTTCTGCACCTATTGATGGTGTGTTGGTGAAATGTTCACCAGTGAGGTGCTCTAATATGTCTGAGACTGCTTTGTTTGATTATCTTTAAAACCACAACTCAATATCAATATTTAAATTTACTGAATCATCGTTAAATCGTTATCATTTTTTTCTGTTTGTAGTTATTTGAATGTATAATCCATTCTCTGATTGCCAGTCTAAAGAGGGAGAGGTGTGAGGGGAGCAGAGGAGCAAGGTGTGTGCAAAGTGAAAGGTCGGGAAAATCAGACAGAATAGCAGCAGCTGTTAAACTGGCAAAGAAAAACATTTCATTCAGTCGATTATTTTACATTTTTCATGGCAGTAATTTTGGCACAAAAGAGAAAACTAATTTCATTAAAACTGATTCAAAGGTTTCCATGAAATTAGGTAATTTAAAAGCTTTAATTGGTTGGAATATTCTTTTAAAAAATATAGCTTTTTGCTTTGCCTGTTAGGTTTTTGGCGCACGTCTCAGATGCGATGCATTATTGAATGATGGAGTTCGGTCATTAGAAAAAGGCACTGAACAAGATTCAAAATTTGTGTAGAAAACAGTGAAATGAATCATGTCTGGCCAGACAGCTCTCTGGGGGCTCAGCACCCCTAAACCTCTGGTTCCTAGAACCGTCCCTGATGACCAAACCAAACAATTTGCTGCTCAAACCATGAATGCATCATCTTTACAAATGTGGCACCGATTGGAGGAAAATCAACATTCTAAGATTTGCCAGCTAGAAGCATTTTTACAATAAAGAAAATATTTACCAGACAGAAATGTCCTTACTGTTGTTTATGTGTACAAGCAATGTGGTTTAGATAATCCATTTTACAGCGTTTAAAATTCTGCTTTCTTTTCTTTTTTTGTTTTTTGGAAGACTGCTTGAATGTAGAGGGGAAAGTGCAGAGCCAATAGCTGTGTTCATATTTCACTAGTTTTATTGAATGTTCCAAGAAACTTCATTCATTGAGTAGAAATAAAAATAAATGCAGTTTTTTTTTCTTTTTTTACATCTCCCTGCCATTTTCCAGCAGAAGTTTCAACATGAAGTGTATATGTGTGTATTTTCAATAGATATGTTTTAAATTTTCATTTATCAAATGTACCAATATTTATATATTTTACTTGTGTTTGTTGTTTATGTTTTTATAGATATGTTTTAGGATATGCACTTAAATCGAGGGTCATGTTTGATTTATTCCAGCCTTTCTTCTCTGATTTTTGCATCTTTTACTTTCTGTTATTTTGTGAAGTTTTCAGCAACCTGAAGCAAACAACATCGATTTATTGCAGCTGATGGAACTTGAAGGAAACTGGTTGGGAATGGAGGGTGGATTAACGTCATGTGCTGTGTTGGTTCAGAGGCATGACGCCAGCAGGTGTGGTTAGAAACCGGTCAGTGATCTGAAGAGCTTCCCTTCCTACAGTCGGGAAAAGTTGGAAGTTTGCTCTGTTTCCCAGTCTGTCTGTAGGTAGGAATAAAGTTTTTGAGGAGGATGGAAACATGGATTTATTTCCATCCATTCCTGATCTGCACAGCGATATGTGATGTATATTTAAGGTAAACGTTTGTCGCAACACCAGAGAAATGGGTCACGAATGAGGCAAGTTTGGAAAAGCATGGAATCTGGTCATGGAAAACTTGTAAGAAATCTGGTTCTAGATGTTTCTCTTTCTAGTTGTCATGGAAGCAGGTACAATTAGGACTTTTGCCATGATAATGCATTTTCTTGGATAACTGGAAAAGCTGATGAAGATCAATTTTAATTTGTTTAAAATAGTTAATCAATGTTCTAATTTAGAGCTCATCTTTTACTGGTGCATCTAGAATTCATGCAGCCTTTTTCTAAAGTTTTTAAATGTACTCTTTGTCTTAACTATTTATCATCTTCATTTCAAACTGTGCTTCTTTTTCTACTTATCAGGACCAAAACATTAAAGATACTCAGCTCAGGTTTATATTGAGAAACATGTTAGCGAGCTTCATCTTTAAATACATTTTATCGAGTCCATTCTAATTTTGGTTTAGTAACAAATGAAAAGAAATGTAAAAAGGTCTAAATAAATCCTAGTGTTTTTATTTTTGGAATATTTTTGTATTGAAATGTTTGCATTTTCATGAGATTTGTTTTATATATATGTTGTAACCAAAAGTTACGCTGCAATGAAGAAAACCCAAATAAAAGTCTACGTAGGAATCCTCACCATAATAAGGATTTTTTTCTTTCTTTCTGGGATCTAGTAAATATTTCACAGAGGGCGGAGCCTTTCAGGCTGAGCTGAGCGGTATTAAGATCCTATTGGCTGGATTGTTGTGACGCTCTCCAAACAGAACAAGGAGGTGAGGCTGAACAATGACACCACAGAGAAGGAAACCAGTTCCTGAACCAGACTCACAACTTTTCCCCCAGTGTCGCCACTGTGTTTCAACTTTAGGTTTGATCAAGATGAGAAAGGTGGTTTTGGTGACAGGAGCTAACAGGTAACAACTAAACTTATATCTACTACTGCTTCAATCAATACTCACATCTGAAAATCAAAGAAATAATCTGTCTGGAGACGGGTACTGAAACAAAGACCAATTATTTTAGGCTCAGTAATAAATCATATCTTCCATTAAAGTTTATTTTTTTAGGTCATTTTTTCTTCAGAATGTTAACTTCAGATCTAAAAACGTTTGCATGGGTTTACACTGAGTTTGATAGGCTGAGCACTTGCCTGTCTTTAAGAACCAACAGACTGAACATATTTATTTGAAACCTTTTGCCATGCATGTTCATTAATTATAGAAATCAGGAGCAGAGGCGATGCAACACTGGGTATGTGTCAGTTGTCATGGTGACGCAGATTCCCTATACTATAAACCAAAGACTATATCAGTAAAAATGTACATCTTAGACGGTCTTTATCATATGTTAGTAATTAGAATTAAAAATTTATAGCATGCATTTTCTAAAGAACTCTAAACTCTCCAACATCTTCAAAGCCAACACAATCCGTAAACAGTTAGAGATTAACAGTGCAAAAAATAAAATAAGAGAACTTTTCCTTTTTTAGCCTTTGTGGTAGGGGTGTGCAAAATAATCGTCATGATGATGCATCGTGATTCTAATTTTCGTGATCTACTGCATCGATTCTTGATGCCAAGTATCGATTATTAATTTTAAAAAAATGAATAAATAAAATTGCATGAATGGTTGGCGAACATCAGCCAAAAACAAGTGTAATACAACTTCCAGTCCAGTAGATGTCGCTGCGGATGTGTTGACGCATGCTGCCTTGTGTCACAAGCATTTCCGGCCGCGGGATACTGCGCCGAGTCATTAAAAAACAAAACATGGAGGACAAAATATTGCAATGCATCGCAATAATTCAAGTATCGTGATACATCGTGATAGAATCGCATCGTGGCCTGTGAATCGTGATTTGAATCGAATCGTAACTTCTTTGGCAATACCCACCCCTACTTTGTGGTATCTTCTGAATTACACCAGGACCATTTGCTCTTTCGACCTTTCACAGCTCCAGAGTCACACATGCAATCAAAAGAGTTGCAGTTGTACACAATGGAGAAGCAGCAAAATGAGCAGCACCTGCTGAGGTCTAACTCTGTTGTAGTTTCCTGAATGCACCACAGACAAGTTTTAGATAATACTTAAAGGGAAAAAATATTTTTAGCTTCTATGCATCCTCTAACTTCTTTTTAATGCATCACTGATACTTCAAAAGTCTAAGTTTGTTCTTTTTAAATCAGTAAAAAAAATATTTATGGTTAACTAGAGCTGTTAGGACTTAGGCCGGCATGGTGCTTTCAGCTTTCTGTGGAATATTGGATATTTGTGTTATTGGCAAGTCGATCCACTATTTGATTTTTATACATACAGCAATAAATAGAAAAAAATTCTAGTGTAATCAAATTTTACCATGAATTCGGTAAGTTTTAAAATATTTCATTGTATAGCTGCATTATTAAAACAACCTGTCTCCCTGCAGTGGTATCGGGCTGGCTCTGTGTCAGCGTCTCCTCTCATTGCACGCAGAGAGTCTCCATCTCTGTCTGGCCTGCAGGAACATGCAGCGAGCTCAGGCCGCACGCTCTGACCTCCTCGCCTCTCACCCCGCAGCCAACGTCGACCTGCTGCAGATGGACACTAGCAGCATTTCCTCGGTTCTCATTGCTGCAAAGGAAGTCAAAGCCAGGTGGGAGGACGGAAAAACCACACTGATGCAGTTTCAACAAAACAAAAGAGGATATTATTTTTCTGTCATTTTCAGGTATGATCATCTGGACTACCTCTACCTTAATGCGGGAATCATGCCTAACCCAAAATTTGATGTAAAGGCCTTTTTTAAAGGCCTCTTTTCAAGGTACATTCCTAAAGACTTACAGTCACCTACTGATTTGTTTCCACCCATGATAAAGATGTGTAAAAAGCATTTAGACAAA